GAATTGCTTTCTTGTTTATCACTAAAGACACTAAGTCCATTTCAATTTTCCTTTTCCTCCTCTTTTTTTTTAATAACTCAAACCACTATTTAGGTTTGGAGAATAAGGAATCTGGAGGGATATCTTGTTTTTTTTCCGGGGGGGACTCTAAGTCTTTTATTATGTTTTTATTTTTTTAACAGTTTCATTGGCACTTCATTCACATGTCTTACAATTCAATAATTTAATCACATCAAGAAGAGTTGTACGATCATTATCACAATTTTAGAACACCATCTTCTTCCTTGTACTCATTGTTATTTGTGTAATTATTTTTTTTAATGTAGCAAATATAAACAATTTATTTTCCAATTCAGCAGCTTCTACATGTGTAATTCAGTGCCCAAGTTTGTAATATTATTATTATTTTTTAAATTATTTTATTCAGGGCTTGTACAATTCTTATCACAATCCATACATCCACTGTGTCAAGCACATATATACTCTATATATTTACACAGCCCATCTAAAAAAATGAAAACAATATCCTATTAAACCCTCCATATATATAGGGTGTGTTTTTTTAACCACATACCCCAACTTGAATTTCTGGCAAACCCCTGTCGATGTGCTGCTGCTGTTGATTTTGGTTTATCTTCAGAAATATTTTACTCCCATGTGGTCATTAATGATGTTACCTTATTGGTAGGTGCTTTCCTGGGACACTATCTACCACAGAACAAAAGACTTCCCAGGCATGTGCCAACCTCACAACTGGTAGTTCAGCACTGATAGTTGCTGTAGCCATTGTCTCAGTTCATCAGGGACGGTCTTCCTCTTTTTGTACTGAACTTCGACTTTACCAAGTATGCCCTTTTCCAGGAATTGATATATTCTGACAACATATCCTAATTATAGGCAATGAAGTCTTTCCATCCTCACTTCTGAGGTGAATTCTAGTTTGAACGCCAGTATGACAAATGTGTTCTTTTCTGGAAGTCCATGGTACATTATTCAGCAGCATCATAATTCAAATGCATCACTTCTTCTCTGGTCATGCTCATTGTCCAGCTCTCACAAGCCTACGAGGGGATTGAAAATATCATGACTCACCTTAGTCTTCAAAATGGTATCTTTGCTTTTTAACAATTTAAAGAAGTCTTTGGCAGCACATGCAATTTGATTTCTTGACTGATGCTACAAAGAGCATTGTTGATCCAGGTAAAATGAAATCCTAGACAACTTCCATCTTTTCTTTGTGTACGGTGATGTCGTTTATTGTTCCAGTTATGAGGATTATTGTTTTCTGTGCTACATTTTCATCAATAAGTTCTTCACGTCTTCTTGGCTTTCAGCAAGCAAGGTTGTGCCACCGGTGTAGTGCAGGTTGTTCATCCTATCCCATGCTCTTCTTCATATGGTCCAGCTTCTCAGACGTTCGCACAGTTTTTTCTGATTTAAGCCATGCAGCATTCCTTTATTCTGTCTGAATTATTGTTTCTTTATGTAGAGATTCCGCAATGGCACATTTAAGAATTCTGTCGTTCCTGTTCTTTGCAATGATAGCCACCGTTTGATATGATCGACACCATCAAACGTCTTTGCACGGTCAATGACACACAAGTAAACATGTTCCTGATATTTTCTGATCCTCCTACATCGCCAATAACATCCTTCTTTTGACATCTTCTTCTGAATCCAATTTGAACTTCTGATAGTTCGTGTACTATTGCAACAACTTTTAAATTATCGTTAGCATGTTAATATTAATGATGTAGTTTGGTAATTTCTTCATTCTGCTGGTTACTTTTCTTTGCAATGGGCACACATATGGATTTCTTCTGGTCAATTGAACAGCAAACTGTCTTCCATATTTCTTAGCACAGAAGAGAGAGTGCTTCCAGTACTGCCTCAGTTTGTTGATAATTTTTCATTATTATTTCATTATTTCCAGGAGCCTTGCTTTGTGCTAATACCTTCAGTGTATCTTAGACTTCCTCAGTACCATTGGTACTTGATAGTATTCTACCTCTGGAAATAGTTGAATGTCACCAATCCTTTTTTTGACAGAGTGAGTCAATGTGTTTCTTCCATCTTCTTTCAATGCTTCCAACCATAGTTGAATTATTTGCCCTGTGGAATTCTTTATTATTTAAACTCAAGACTTAGATTTGTCTTCATTAATTCTACTTTGAAATATACTGAGTGTGTTTCAGTTTTCTAACTCCAGGTCTTTGCACACTTCATTTTAATGCATTATTTTGAACTCTTAAGAAGA